ACGAGGCTAATGGAGCCTCGGGGTTAATAGGTTTACTGGCAGCAAGGGTAACATTGCTGAATGTGTGGTCCCTTGCTGCTGCTGATGAAAAACATCATGTTGTCAAGAAAATCAGTATTCCATGCTACACTGACCCTATGTATACTTTTCTTTCAGTAGAATGTCCTGAAATTCTCTCATTGTCCATAAGTTTTACTGTCCCCAAATCAGAACTTTCACTAATTTTTTAAATGATTTTTCATACTCACTTTGCATTTCATGCTACCTAAACTTTATTCATGCTAAATTTTTTAGCTGTGTCAAAGAGCTGTTTTATGAATATGCTTCTTCATGTTAATGGGAAATCACGCCCTTACTCAAGCTTAGCAAATCAGTTCTCATACCCAGGACAGAAAAACAGAGCCAGTTTGGGATCACATAGCTGATCAGTAATGCAGTGGAGTAACTAACAGTATATTAGGGGAAAAAAAAAAAAGTTTTATGTGGGTTGTCTTAGTATCTTCAGCCGTTTAAAAAACACTGTTTTGCCATATCCCACCAAAATAAAAACGAAAGTATTGAATCCCTATTAGTTCTTATGTCAAAGGGAGTGAATTAGCACACATGGCTTCCCATGGATGTCCCGTTAGTAATATTATCTTAAAAAAAAGTCATTGTCATTTGATTTTATCCAAATAAGGATTATATTTTCTTTTGGATAGAAATACTTTTTCAAACACTATATCCCTCACACCCTCATGGTTCCTTTATATGTGGTTCCTCTATCTGTGGTTCCTCTTTCCTAGACTATAAAATGTCACCAGTTTGGTCCTTGCCCTAGAGCTGGTCACATTCTAGCTGGGAAGATGACATGCCACTAACAAGTTGTATAGGCCAGGCTTGGGAATCTATATAACCTCTAAATGATCTTTTACTGGCACAGAATTTTTTTTAAAAAAAATCAGACAAGAACTATCTTTCACCATTTCAAAATTCTTCAAGACTTTAAAAACTATTACTAAAGAAGCCACTTCACTGTCTTTATTCAGAAGAGATACTGTTAAATAAAATAACTTGTCTCTCTTTTAAGAAATAATTCATACAATTATTTTTCATGAAATAAGTACAAATAGTAGCTGTTTTTAAGTCAACTTGAAATACTGACCCTCTTTAAAAATGAGGGTAAATATGCAAAATGATTTGTCATGTTCAAAGAAATTCATTATTAACTTTGAAAAGGATTTCAGAGGACAGCTGGGTGGTCACCCAGGAAACAAGATTGGAAGGTACTGGGAAGTCCACTCTAGACTCCCTTTTTTATTCATTCAGGTGTTCTGAACACATTTTGTGAGCACTTAAAATGTGCCAGCCCTGTGCTTCTGGGGGCCTCCAGACTTGGCAAGGAAACAGACATGGATTGAATTGTGTCCCCCCAAAATATCTGTCAACTTGGCTAGATCATATTGTATGATTGTGTACCATTTTGTAATGTGATGTGATTTCCTTATGTGTTGTAAATTCTATCACTATGATGTAATAAGATGGATTAGTGGCAGTTATACTGATGAGGTGTACAAGATTAGATAGTGTCTTAAGCCAATCTCTTTTGAGATATAAAAGAGAGAAGCGAGCAGAGACAAGGGGACCTCATACCACTGAGAAAGCAGTGCCAGGAGGAGAGCGCCTCCTTTGGACCCGAGGTTCCTGTGCAGAGAAGCTCCTAGAACAGGGGAAGATTGATAACAAGGACCTTCCTCCAGAGCTGACAGAGAAAGGAAGCCTTCCCCTGGAGCTGGAGTCCTGAATTTGAACTTGTAACCTACTAGACTATGAGAAAATAAATTGCTCTTAGTTAAGCCATCCACTTGTGGTATTTCTGTTAGAGCAGCACTAGATGACTAAGACACAGATTAATCAAATAGCCACACAAATATGTAAATTCAAAGTATGACAAATAATACAAGGGAAAAGTCTAGGGTCTGTGAGCATATGTAACAGGGGACATGACCTACCATGGTGGAAAATAATGACTTGATTAGTTAAAAAAAAAGAGTTACAGGGAGGTGTGGTCAACATGGCAGCATAGTTAGACGCTTCCTATATCCCTCTTACAACAAAGACCTGGAAAAACAAGTGATTTGATTCTATGTGAACAACTGGCAGCCCTGAACAAGGCAAGATGAAGAAATCCATCTGAGTCATATGGGAGAGGAAGACTGTTTGGAAGAGGTGATGAGTGCTAGAGCTGCAGCAGTGAAACTGCAGAGACAATGTCACGCTGGTCCGCGGTGAAGCAGGAAAACAGCTGTGCTGTGCGCGCGCTCAAGAAGCAGTTTCCAAATCGAGAGAGACCCAGCAGCAGAGATTCTGCTTGGACACTCTGAACCAGTGAAGAGCATCTCCCAAGAGGCTAGGATAAGTGCATGCGTGCACCCTTTTGTGG